GCGCGTGGCGGGGGAGGACGGGGCTGGCGGGGAGCTCGCCGCCCTCGCTGCGCGCAGAGCGCCGGGCTGAATTCAAGCATGCATTTAGCTCCTGTGATCCTTGTGTTTAAGTAAAGGCATTTCTGGGAGTAGTGGCTGGGCTGAGCTCCCCGCGGCGGTGTTTACTCGTGGCAGACGCTGTTTATAGTCGGTGTCTATGGCAGACGGCTGCGGCTCCCGGTGCGCACAGGAGTCGTGGGCTGGAGCCGGACCTGGTGGTGCCGGAGCTCGCCGGTTCCAGCAGCGCAGCACATCCCCATTTCTTGGGGCCGGCGACGTGGTCCTGCCCGACCCTGCTCGGCACCATCAGGCCCTTCAACCATCGCCTGAGCAGCCCGTGGGAAGCAAAGAGGGGACACGGGGGTGTCCTGAGGGCATCGGTAGGGCTCAGGTGGTCTAAGCAAGGGTCCCAGTGCTGGGGGTGCCACCGTCCCTCTGTGCTGCAACGTCTGCCCAGTGGCCCCAGCATCTGCCTCTGCGCGGGCAGGGCAGGATGGTGCTGGTGGGTGCTCGCAGGTGCTCGGTGCTCTCTGTCACCCCTCCGGCGATCCCAGCGGGGAGGACAGCCAGGGACATGCCCAGTGCCCGCTGGCAGCGTGGCCATGTGGGAGCCTTGCTCTCCTCCCCGCCGTGCCCATCTCCTTTTGTGGCCGGTATTTTTAATTGGCAGTGCTCTCAGCTCCCTTCCCTCTCCCTCGTTAGAGGAGTAGTTTTCCTTGTGCTTCCCAGCCATTAACGAGCTCTCCCGTGTCTCCCTGCCCCCAAACAGGCTGCAAATCCTGCACGGCAGTAGTGGGGCTGAGGCGGCCCCGGGCTGCGGATTCGGCGGCGTGTCGGGATGCCCGTCCCGCTCCTCCTGCCTTGGGAACCGTCAGCACCCAGCCGCGGCCCCAGTTAGGCTGCAGGCTCTGGCTGCAGCACTGCGCCCTCGGCACGGCTCTGCCATGGCCCGTGCTAGGCTGCCAATGCTGTGCCGGGCAAGCATGCTGCTTCATTACAGGAGGGGCTTAATTGCTGGACTGAAGGACCATGGTGTGAGGTTTTTGCTCGCAGCCCGTCGGGAGCTTAGGTGATGCCGGCTGGCGTGGCAGTCGCTGCCTTCCCTGCCCTGCCCGCTGCTGGTGCAAAGCCACTGTCCCTCGAGGGTCCTGGTGCTGGTGCAGACATGGGGTTGATTCTCCGCTGGTGCCGCACCAGCTCCCACCATCCGGGGCCTTGGCCTGGCCCTGCAGGGGTGCCAGCCACCGCACCGCCATCCCTGCCACCATCCACACCTCGCCATGCTGCTGGGCAGCCGGTGGCAGCCTGGGGTGCTGCACCCCAGGAGGACGTGGGACCACCTGGCTGCTCCCCAGGGGACCCCATCAGACCAATGCCGCATGTAAAGACCTTTTCCCGGCAGCACTTGAAGCTGTGCCGGGGCCTGAGCTCGTGGGCAGAGGCAGGCTCGTGGCCACTCCAGAGCTTTAACGAAAGTCAAACCGCTGCACGGCTGGAAGTCACTGACTAAGCACTTGGCACGGGCGTTGATGGAAGTGCTAAACAGATTTTGGCAGCCGCAGCCTCTCCTGCAGGTGCAGGGAGGAGAGATTTGCCGCTAAGGTGTGTTCGGCTGATGCCAGTTTGGCTGGTGCGGGGGGCTGCCGGCACACATCTGGGGATCGGCGTCGCGGGGTGCAGCGGTGACGCCGTCGGTGTCACTGCTGCACCCCGCGACGCCGATCCCCGGGCATTGCCCCATCCCAGCCCCTCGCTGGGAGCAACCCGTGGGAAAGGCCAGGCACTGCAGACCTGCCGACATCCGTCCCTCTGTCTGCGAGGACCGGTTAGCCGGAGCGGGGCCCGTCTCGGGGCCGGAGATTGGAGCCAGTGCCGGGCACGGTGCCGCTCCTGCGCCCGCCGGCTCCTTTTGTCCACCGGCCGTTTGCGTCCCTGGGGGGCGGCTCAGCCCCCTTCTCCTGGGAGCTGCTTCTTGGCACCGGGCGGCAGCGGAAGCGGTCCTGGGCTCCTCTCCACCGGCACTGAATGGCACCTTTGTTGGGGAGCCTGGCGGCAGCTCGGGGCTGGCCGGGACCTGCTCGACCCCGGCCACGGTCAGTCCCGGTGCTGGGGGGCTCTGCCCACCAGCAACAGCCAGTCCTTCCCGGGGGAGCATGGGGATGCTGCAGCAGGGTTGGGATGTGTGTGTGGGGGCTGTTCCCTGGGTCTGGCCGCCTCAGTGAGGATTTGTTGCTGGGATGATTTGTTAATGTATTAAATGAACAGCATGGGCTGCCAGGGCAAGGGGGGGCTGCCCTGTCACGCAGGGCTCGGGCTGGTGGTATTTTGTTTGCTAGAAGGAGGGCGAGTGGGGCTGGCTGTGGGCACCCTGTGGTGCCCCGTCCCTCCCTGCACCCAGGGGACCCTGCCGTGCCCTTGTCCCTCCCCGTGCCCTGGGGACCCTGCGGTGCGCCTTCTCATCCCACAGCCGCCCCATGGCACTGTGTGCTGGGAGGACAAGGCTGGGGACCTGGTGGCTGGTCGGAAGCCATCCCCCATAGCTCTCGCCCGTTGGCACCGGGCTGTGTCATTGTTAGCAAACGTCCTGCGGCTCGAACTGCCGTGCAGCCGACAGAGCGCGGGAGCGAGCCGGTGCTGGGTGCCAGGGCCTGGGAGCCTCTGCGTGGGCAGGGAGAAACCTCTGCCACCGCCGCGGTTGCTGCTGGGACCGTCCGCCATGCGTGACCTGGGCAGGGGTGGCTCAGCCCGGCACCGGGCTCGGGGCCGTGCCAGTGCTGGCTCGCTGCAGCAGGCACGGGGGCTGCTGCATGGGTCCCTAGCCCGGGCTCTGCCCTGCTGCAGCCACCCTCCTCTTCCTCCTCCTCCCCGCTGGGGGCTGTGAGGAAGAACAGGCTCACTGGAAAGCCTGAGTGGCATTTTTCGGTTAAATCTTATGTAAATCTGGCTCCATCCTTCTTCGTGGTGCTAATTGGATTGCCCCGAGGCGGTTTATTTTCCCACACAGGCAAGCGTGGACTGGGAGTGGGGCAGTGCTGGGTGAGGGGGCTGCGGGGGCAGGGGACATGCTGGGGCACAGGGGGAGCACGCCGAGCTCCCTGCTTTGCCAAAGCACCCAGGCCCAGCAGCTCGGTGCAGCACTGGGCTCCACGGGGCCATGCCAGAGCCCCAGCGAGGCGAAGGAGCCCGGGAGGGAACCCCAGGCAAACCCACAGCAACCCCAGGCAGACGGAGACCTTGGTGCCAGGGGAAGCCCCCGGGCTCTGCCGCCATCAGCGGGGACCCCTCCACCCCGAGCCCTCCTGCCCGCAGCTGCCCGCAGGCTGGGGCAGCCCCGCGTGGCACCGTGCTGTGCCCCGGCCCAGGCTGCAGAGCTGCAGGGAGCTGAAACCTTGGTGGGGAGGGAAACCTGGAGGTGCAGCCACATCACCGCCGCAGTGCACCCCGGGTCCCTGCCCCAGCTACCTCCCGCGCCCCTCTAACGTGCTGTCCTCTTCTCTCCCTGCCAGAGCTCCTCGGATCGGCAAAGAAAGTCAACGTCAACTTCCAAGACACTGACGGGTGAGTGGGAGCCCTGTGCCTGGGCATGCATGCAGTGGGGTGCATGGGCAAGGGTGTGCGTACCGCGGGGTGCCGTGAGCAGGGGTGTGCGCGCTCGGGGACACGTGCAGCACAGGGTGCAGCGAGCAGGAGTCTTGTGTGTCTGTGCAGGCACGCCGGGCTCTCCAGAATGATGCGGTCGAGCTGCCGGGGTCCAGACGGGCAAAGGTTCTCGCCCCTGTTAGCCAGCGTGCCTGAGCCCTGCCTGCACCCCTGAGCCGGTGGGCTTGCGTGTAGCAGCTGCGGGCATCAAAGGAGGTGGGAGGCGAGGGTTGAAAGGCAGAGGAAGAGCTGTGCCCCACGTCTCGCCGGCCTTTTCCCAGCTCTTGCTGCAGCTCTGCAGGTGCTGTGCAGGGAGCAGCCCCGCGGGGCACCGGCCGGGCAAACCGTGACCCCTGCCGGGCTGTGCCGCTGGTGTGCCGGTTCGCAGCCGGCATCCGACAGGCAGGGAGAAGCGGGGAAGGGGGCCGCAAGCTCACTGCCCGCTAATCACACTAATGAGGCTGCCGGCGCAGGAAGGCAGCCGGAGCCCTGTTGGAGGAGGGGGGCTGCGGTGGCAGTGGGCAGTGATGCTTACAGGGCTGGGCAGCAGCCACCTCCTGTGCCCCCCCCACATTGAGCGGGGTGGCAGGACATGGGGCTGGGCGATGCCGCTTGGGTCCCTTGGGGACAGGTCTGCTGTGGCCATGGAAATGGCAGTGAGCAGAGGGGCCAGATGGGGTCAGGAACGGGAGGGCATGCCCTGGGGACACGTGGCCGCAGCAGCCTGGGTCCCTCCTCATCCTCGCCCCTGAGCAGGGCCCGGCACTGGGGTGGTGGTGGCAGCGGGCATCCCCTGGTACCTGCCAGTACGTGGGCTCTGCCAGCCCACGGGTGTACACGTGTGTGCGTGCACGGGTGCACGCAAGCATGTGGATGTGCTGCTGAGCGTGCGTGTGCATGCAAGCGTGTCTGTGCACGAGCAAGCGTGCGTGCACGGCGGTGGGGTGGGTGCGTGGCGCTGCCTGTGCGGGACAGGGGCTGGAGGGTGCGATGTGGGCAGGGCAAGGGGATGCATCACCCCACGGACCACCTCGTGCAGCAGCTGCCAGAGCCGGCAGGTCGCTGGAGGGCTGTGCGTCGTGGCGGGGCTGGGACGGCAGTCGAGAGCTGTAGGCAGCTCGTGTGCTGTCTGCAACCGCCTGCGGCTCCTGGCCAGCTTGGTGGGTGTAGGAGCAGCCCTGCAACAGGGGAGCAACCTCCAGCCTCCAGCGCTGCTCCTGGAAAGGATCCACCCTGGGAATGCGCAGGGCAGACCCAGGCTGCAGCCGGTGCGTGCTCTGCTCTGCCACCCGCCTGCTGTGCCAGCTCAGCCAGTCCCGGTGCTGTGCCTCAGTTTCCCCATCTCTGCTGTGCTTGCTGATTCCTGGGCTGGTGGATGCCGTGGGCGAGCACCGTGCTGATGGTCCTGCACTTGCCTGGGGGACGGTGCCCTGCACAGCGCGTGGCCTTTGCGGCTGGCCGTGCCGTGCCGGGGGAAGCCCCCGAGGCAGCCCGGGGGAGGGCTGCGATTTGCACCATCTTGAGCGGATTTGAGCAGGGTGCTGGAGCGGAAAATGTTGACATTTCCCAGGCAGACGTTGGGGATTGGCCTCCTGCACGAGCTGTCTGCTCACATCGCTGCTCCCTGCCTGGGGATCGCAGGCGGCAGCTCCACAGGGAATGTGGTGGCCGGAGCGTGTTCCCCAAAGGGGATGCGTCCCCCCTCAGCTGGGGGTCCCGGCGATGGGGAGCAGATGGGATTGCTGCCCTGCCGCCCGCCTCTCGAGCACTGGGTGGCTGTGGGGGCCACCAGGTCCCGCTGGGGTCCACAGCCCATTCCCATGCTCCGGTGACACCGGGGTGGCCCCAGGGACGGGATGGGGACGCTGCGTGTGACCGGGGCCCAGAGCAGCGGGGTGGCAGGCACGAGCGCAGCCGCGTGGAGGATGCCGCTGCCGGGAGCAGCAAGTAGGTCAGCTCCTGGCCTGCTTCCCAGCAATGAGCCTCCTGGTTTGGCCAGTCCCGGGTGCTGCGAAAGCAGAGCAGGGTGTGGGGCTGGGGGCTTTCCCCACCCCATGACAAAGCCCGGCACCGGACAGGGGCACCACTGCCAAGCCCCTGTGCCGGTACCCATGGTTGTGCTGCTGGAGCCAGGCTGGGGGAAGCGGGTCAGCGGGGAGGGTAGCTCCCTGGCACCCTCCACCCTCAGTGGGATCCCCCCCCTTGCCTTCCCTGTCCATCGCCTCTAGCCCCATGGGATCTCAGCATCCCCAGGGAGTGTTTCATTTGCATCCATCTCGCTCCAGCATCCCCAGATCAGACCCACCAGCCCCTCCTCCCAGCTCTGCGAGAGCATCCCCAGCCCTGCATCCCACCGTGCAGGCTGGGGGGGGTCTGTCCTGTGGCTGCAGTGCCCCAGGGGAAGCTAAATAAAAGCGATGGGCTGGAGAGCAAACCCGCATCTGCCCTGGCACATCCCACCCTCTGGCCCTCATTGCATGCCATGACATGGCCGGCTCCTGGCTCGGCCACGGCTGGTTCGTGCGGCAGCTCTTTCTCGGGGTGCACACAGAGGGATGTAGAGGTGGGGTTGCCCGGGGACACATGCATGTGGGGGGGCTGCAAGAGGCAAAGAGGGTGCCCTGGCGTGCTGCGGCGGGTGCAGGCTCGAGGCCGTGCTGCTAGGCAGGGGCTGGCAGGGCTGCGGAGGGGACGTGGGACCCCTGACACGGCAGCCGGTCCCCAGGTTCTCGGCTCTGCACCATGCGGCGCTCAACGGCAACACAGAGCTCATCTCGCTGCTGCTGGAGGCGCAGGCTGCGGTGGACATCAAGGACAACAAAGGCGAGTCCCTGCGTCCTGGCCGTGGCCCCCCCCGCCCCGTGTCCCCCCTCCGCAGGCTCCGGCCAGGCGCGGTGGCGTGCCCAAGGGGCTCACGGCGTGCCCGTCCTGCCCGCCCGCAGGCATGCGGCCCCTGCACTACGCGGCTTGGCAAGGCAAGAAGGAGCCCATGAAAATGGTGCTGAAAGCGGGTTCCTCGGTGAACATCCCGTCGGACGAGGGCCAGATCCCCCTGCACCTGGCGGCACAGCACGGGCACTACGACGTGGTACGGTGGGGCCGGCGGCGGGGCGCGGCGGCGGTGGGGAGACCGTGCCCCCCTCCCTGCCCCTGCCCTCGCCGAGTCGGGGTCTCACTCCTCCGCAGTCGGAGATGCTCCTGCAGCACCAGTCCAACCCCTGCATCATGGACAATTCGGGGAAGACGCCCCTGGACCTGGCGTGCGAGTTTGGCCGGGTCGGGGTAAGTCCTTGCAGCGCCGGGACCCCCCCGAGAGGCAGCTGGGGAGGGGGTGGGGGGGCACGGCGGGGTCCCTGGGGTGCTGGAGCAGCCCGGGGAGGGACACAGGGCAGCCCCCGGGAGGGATGGCGGGGGGGCCCTCGGTGCCACCGCTGTGGGGGATCCCTGGCTGCTGGGGGAGAGGAGGCAGGGGCTGGGGGGGCCCACAGCCCCGGCAGGCGGCTGAGCCGCCCTTGCAGCCCTGCTCCGTCTGTGTTTGCTGAGCCAGGTGGTCCAACTGCTCCTGAACAGCAACATGTGCGCGGCGCTGCTGGAGCCCAAACCGGGGGACGCCACAGACCCCAACGGCACCAGCCCCCTGCACCTCGCCGCCAAGAACGGCCACATCGACATCATCCGGTGGGTGCCGTGGGCAGGGAGGGCAGGGCTGGTGTCCCCCCCCACCACCCTTCCCCGCCTCGCTGACCCCGCTGTCTGCCCGCAGGCTCCTGCTGCAGGCTGGCATCGACATCAACCGGCAAACCAAGGCGGGCACGGCGCTGCACGAGGCGGCCCTCTGCGGCAAG